GTCTTGAAAAGGAGAACTTGGGCTTTTCTCCTTTCTACAAACTACAAATGCAAAGTTTACCTTGTCATATAAACAAAGACTGACTGCAAAAGCTCAAAAACAGGAGTTGTTTTCGGTTGATATCGAGATAATGTATTTATCAACATCCTCTTGAATTTCTTGGGTTTTACGCAACACTAACATAAGCAGATGAGATCCTGCTGTGTGTCACTCTGATACTGTGCTATGCTCTACTTCACTTTCCAACGGGTCCTGTATTTTAGAATTGTCTAAGTGTATGTCAACAAAACACACGCACCCTCACTCTGGCTTTGGTTTTCATCTACATTCCTTTAAAATCCACTTTTAGACAAGTATTCATAAGCCTCTTCCAAGAACTTGAAAAAATGCTGACTGTAAACTCAATAGCAGAAAACATGTCATTACTGTCCACAGCTGTAGGTAAATATGAGGTGACATAGACTTAGAAAAATAAAACTGGAATAGGTTCTTCAGCTCAGACAGAGCAGGCACTTCAGACAAAGAATGTAGGATTTTAAGAAGTTAAGACTACCTACGTTCTCATACTAACAAAAGGTAAAATGCTACTCTACTTTTGTTTTATATGCTGTCAATATTAGCAAGATCAGATTGGAGTGTTCTGTTTCATCATCTCCTCCTGTACATAGATCCACTACAGAACCCAGTGGCAATCCTACTGCCAGAAACCATGTTCCCCACAGACGGTTGCAAGAAAGCCTAGAGACTTTTTGACTATGTGTCACATTCCTAGGTTCTTCTAAATATACTACTAGCATCTCAGAAAGCAACAAAGCAAATGCTGTGTAAACTTTAAATCATTAATCATTTTTCATTATTGTTAATCTCTTCCACAATAGCTTTTTAAAATACACCAACTGATATGTAGAAAGGTATATCTAAGTATCTTCAGAAGGTATACCTATGGAAGTATATATGCAAGATATGTCTGAGACAGTAGTGTGTTTCAAATCACCTACATTCTAAAATAATAGGAATGAGACAAAAAATAAGAGATATGAAAAGTCACTTTCATGTTGATATATAACCCATGTAAATAAGCTTTATTAAAAGCAGCAGCTGAATTAGATGGTGCCTTTTACACACTTTTTCTCATACCTTGACTTCTGCTTTGGTACTGCATTGTCCAAACTGGATTCAGATTGATTCTGTACTTCCTTTTAACATGAAAAAAATAACTTCCTTCCTGTCTTCCTTTTTCATCTATGAATACACCTGTACAGCTGATTAATTCACTAAGAACCCTTTTATCTACTTTCTGTGAGAAATCTGTACACAGTTGATAATTGCTAGATACCAAATCTGTGGATGGAAGAAAGAGCTACTGCTTGCAGTATCACAGAACTTCTTAATTATTTATTAATTGTTTAAAAGTATGCTGCCCTGCAAACCCTGTGGCTATAGGCAATGAGCACACTTTGTGCTTAAAGAGAAGAAACAGAATGCACTGACAGACTTAGAATCCCAAAGTGTGCTTAAACATTCCAAAAGCAAAACATTATCATAAGCAGTCATTTACAGAAAAAATGGAAGAGGCCAATTCCATCAGAATGATCTGCAGTTTAAATGGACCGCCAGCCTTGCTGTGAAACAGCTGAGGATGGAGAGAGGTCTCTCTATACTGACAGACAGATAAGCACACTTATCTATAAAGCAAAATCATCCCACTTTTTTTTTCCTGATTTCCTTCAGTATATGAACATTATAGGAATGCTGAAATAGTGTTTTCTGAGCCCCATATGCTTTATATTCCAAAGATCAGTAACTTTTCTATTTTTAACATTAATCGATGTGCACTGGGGAATGGGGGCATGCAGAAGAGGGGAATGAAAATTGTAAGAGCACATCTATAACCAGACCAGCTCTTTATATTTTATAATGATAATCAAGAGTACTGTAAATGCAAAAACTGATTCTTAATTACATTTACTAATCTACTTTTCCTTCTGCATTTACAGTAGGTAGATGCAATCTGTACTCACAGGTGGCACTAGTCACATGCGTGCTTACAAATTAGGTTGGCAGCCCTTTTTATTGGCTCTAATTTTCCTTGTCAAAATGTTCCATGTTAAATTTTAACATCATTGTTTTGATGTTTATAATATTTCATCTTTCTTGCTTTCATCATAAATGTAATGAAATTTGCTTTTGTTTCTTATTTTCAGATTCTAAGCTTTATGGTTTCCTTAGAATAGGAATTATTTAGTCCTGTTGCTACCATTAATATTTTTAAGCTTTTCTATGCAGAGACTGAAAGAACCAAAAGATATATAAGGAGCAACAATGTATTTACGTCCCATGATTTTTAAGCCAATCTCATTTAGAGCCTAGTTAGGGACTGTGAAGATTCACTCCAGTAATTCTACAACTGGGAGAGATCACTAGGATCACACAAGTTGACCAGGCCAAAGTTTTCCCCCAAACTAATTTTAGACTACGTACTATTTCAAAAACAAGTAAAAAAGAATCTGGTCTTGATTAAGGGCTTGGGGGGATGGATATTGGGACCTTTCTAATAGACCACTGTAAATTGTTACAATAATTAACTATCTTCATTTAAAAAACAAAGCAAAACAAAAAATCCCCCCCAAACAATCCCGTGCCTTAACTAAGCCCACATTTGTGCAATTTGCAAAATAATGGAATCCAATTTCAGACACCAGATTTTTTTAAACTCTTGTCAACAAGATTATAGAACCTGGTATTAGAAATTAACTAGAGATCAACTAATTAATCCTTTAATCATCCCTTGAATAAGCTAAATGGACTGAGCTCCTAGAGTCTTTCAGTCTAAGACACTTTTTTCAACTATTTCATGAGCCCTGTGACTTTTCTCTGAACCCATTGCAAATTATCAATATCTCTACAACTAAAAAAACCCAAAATGAAGGAAAATCCTTAGAATTAGCTTACAAATACAAAATCAATTTTTCTATGTTGACTGGAGAGTCCGATGTTTAAATATTCAATGATCACACTTGTCTGGTTTTGACGGTGAGTTTGGGCTGTGGTTTTGCCCAGTAACACAATAAAATAAAATATAACCTGGAAACGAAAAATGGGCATTTTCTACAGAACTGGTGTCATGCAGACAACTTGGTTGTAAACCTACCAATATCTACCGCTTGTAACTCAGGCCAGGATTTAATTAACTTATCAACCCTCCACATTACAAAACTGAAGAAATGGGCAACAAAAAAAAAAAGTATACAGGCATCTTCTTGGTAAGAGCAACATTTCCAGACATTGTCAGTCTCCAAGCTGAGACTATCGTGTCCACGGTAAGGTAAATGTCAGCAACAAACCAGATTTCAACAGTTGTAATACCTTTAAATGATAAAAAAAAAAGGTTTTCTGAAGCTGCATAAAGCAATGGTTTTGGCTGGTTTAAATTAGACAAAGTGGAAACAGGAATCATCACAGAGCTCTGTCTTTCCCATCTCTACAGGCAGTCCCTTCATTAGAGGCCAAAACAAAATACAACAAGCCATTTGACTTTGGCCTCTAACTGTAATTAATCAGCATATAAAAATGTATTCTCTACACAGCAGTACTACATATCATGTAACTGAAGGTCCTTTAGTTTTGCTGCTCTCACTAACTAGTCAGGTTAGTTTGCACCTCCAGAAAAATATGACTGCCTGATCTCTATATCCTTTATGCAACAATACTTGATTATTCCTTTTTTTTCTTTTTTTTTGCCTTAGCAAATCTGGAATGAATTAATTTATAGACAAGCTCAACACTCAAAAAAAAGTGGTTTGGTAGCTTTAGAAGCTTTAAGCATTTCCCAGATCTTTTCAAAATATCCTGTATTAATCCTTTCCCAACCTTTCAAACACTGTCGAAGAAGCTTTGTTATTTTTGTAATCCCTAATTTCTGACACTACTGTATGATTTTTGGCTTCTCAAGATTCTCAAGTACGATTCGTACCTTTGAAGAGTAGTTGTCGTATTAATTGCTTCTCTTACCAGCCCAATCTATCCGAATTAATTCTCCTTCCATTTGTGATTACACAATATCCTTGCATGAATTACCACAATTGCTAGCCTGGAATGTATTACGAGGAAAGCATTTAATGTATTTTTAGCTGTCTTTTAGTATAGCTAAAACAAGAGGAGGAAACAGATAATGTGATCAGGCAGCTCTCTACAGGCCAATGACAAATACACTGTACACATTGTTCAGAAACTTTGGCACTTTCCTTTTTAGATTTATTTTTTTAATTTTATTACTGGCTTGAGAAAAATAAATAGATGGGTGCTGCATAAGCACTGTAAAATTACAGAATTCTGCTGCCTGATCAAAGGGAAGTGGCAAAAGGAAGATGAGTGTGTACCTGAGTTCAGTTTGCATTCCCAATTTTCAGGCCCGGGTCCATCACTCCTAACACCTCATGTGGTTTTTTGCTAGTGCTGTGTGCTATCCAGCACCTACGATAATTAGTCAAGGGAGCAGAAATTTCATGCAGTTTATTCCTCCTAAATAGTATCTGAAAACTCAGAGCAGCTATGTATATAGTCATATACAGCCAGAATTATTCCCAGAATCTTGAAAGTATAAATCTAATAAAATATTCCCTTCCCATGTACCCTGTATCTTTCACTTCCAGCTCTCAGCAAAAACAGAGCATAACTTATAAGTGACAATGTGAGATTTGTTCAACTGATTCGGAGGTTCCGGAAAATAATTCATAAAAAATAAACATATTCTGATGTATTCTATGGCTGAATTCATGCAAGTGTAATATGCAAATCACTGACCATTGCTAAACTGCCACAGAACAAAAACTATGACAAAGCTGTCATACTTTCGCCATTCTTCTGCTGAAATGTCAGTTTAATTGCAAACGGGAAAATACACAATACGTAGTTAATCAACAGCTTTGTTTTAAAAGCAAGGAAGTTCCTAATTTATGTTTGGCCAGCAGAATGATGAAATAAACCAGCTCTTTTCTTACCCTTATTGTACATATTGGTTGGTACTTGGACATCACTGAGACTGATGTTTACAGGCAAGTTATTGAAGTGGTCATTTGGCACTAGAATGAACTCCTTCCCCAGCTCCAGATAGTTTCCTTCTTCATCTCGTTCATTTATGAGCACAGCATTGAAGTATTCATACTGCAACAGAAACAAACATCCAGCATTCTGAATTCACATTCAGCATCAAAAAAAAAAAAAAAAAGAGGTGTAAATGTTTTTACATATCTGTCAATCCATTGATTAACATTTACATGTATCCCCATCTAGAACAGAACAAGAAGATACTTTTATCATCTCTCAGATTCCCTCTGTACTTCTAGTACAGGTACCTTTCTGAAGCCAGATTTATCTCACAAAAACCTCATATTACCTCAGATCTCTGGTTTCCCTGAAAATGTTAAGGGCAGCCTAACACCCTGAACAAACAATGTATGCACTATTTTTAATACAAAGCTCTGGAGATTTAAACCATTGCCTGGATAATTATGTAATGATCATCTCTCTAGTGTACTTCCATCAGTTCAAGAACTGCTATCAGTGCTGAACTTGGCTCTTGACAAACTAAAAGTGTTTTTACTTCACAGGAATATTAACCAAAGCTGTTGTTGCTTACCCAACTGATGCGTACTGACCGACATTTCCTAAAGAAAATATTTACTTCATGCTGAATTTTACAAATGCACATCATAGCAGGTTTTGTAAAATTATGCATACTTTAATATGGACGTACAAACTCAGCAGTGACTTACTTTGAACAAGAAATTATTGTCTGCCTGTTACAGATTCCTGAAGAGTATTTGGCCTATTTTGCACAGAACTATAACCAGATAAGCAAAAGCAATTTAGATAAAATTATTGATTTCTTTACGACCTAGTTTAACCAGAAATTCTATCAAGCTTCGAAGGCAACAAGCAGTGAAGACTACTTTTTAACCTCTTCAACAACCTTAACCCTTGACAAGTTTGTGATGTGTTTCTTAATTGAATGAGACCAAAGTTTAGTGCCTTTGAAGAATCTCAATCTACATCTGAGTCTCTGGCCTAACTATTCATTTGAGAGTAAATCAACATAAATAATATTTAGAAATAAATTTATGCATTCACAGATCATCAGTATCTCTATAACTTGTACAGGGATAAATATATTATACCATTTGCAAAGCTAAAACAGACCAGCAAGTATAAAAACTTAAAAGTCTCTTCACAAGCACTGTTTCTTAGTGTGATGTGCAACTTGTTCTACTAAATGAGAATTAGTTAAAATCTTACAATCTGTACAGTTCTACTAAAAGGCTTGATAATTTAACCAGTATCTTAAATGGAGACTTATTCGGAAAGTGGCTTTCCATATCCTGCTCTTTCAGCTTCTAGTTTTTCAAAATGGCCAACTGTAGTCTGGATTTGAGATGAAAGTAGAATACAAAAGAAGCCACTGTATGTTAGCTAGATTTTGAGGAACTTCTCTGTGTGACAGAAATATTCAGATAAACTCAGTGTTCCATGTACCATTAATCACATATAACAAAGAATGAGACACATCAGTATTTGAAAGTCAGTTTAACAGAAATTAATCCGACATGATTAAACATTTGACCTTAAAGTTATTTTTCTTTAATCAGTTTATACTGAGATAAGCCAAATAATTTATTGCATACATTTCATGAATATATACAGATACTGAATTATAAAGTTCAGGAAAAAAAAACATCGTAGTATTTTTTTTTTTTCTTCAGGAGCCACAGGTAAAGAAAAGAGTAAAGATATAATTTTTCTAAAGCTGTAGTTTAATTATTTAATTAATTACAAAAGTTGTTAGAACTGTTCAACAGTCCCACAGATGCCACCCTTCTCTATACCATTTGCTGGATGTCACTGTTATAGATTTCATTCTTCTCATACCAAAACCCAAAGGATGAAGAAACGTGATCATTTCCAAGAAACACCAGTTCTCATTCTATTTGGGAGAAACCTTCTCCATCTCTGCTTATTATCCAGGTTTATCATGGATCATTAACTGCACTGCATGCCTGCCGACCACATGTGACAGCAGCTATTTCAGTTTACCCTTTCTGCAAAAGCCAGAGACAGTTGGCAGAAGACTTGAAAGCCCAACTTGTATTTCCCATCTTAGTAAGAAATAGAATACTCCCTCCAACATTAAGCCATGCACTAATGACTGTTGTAAAATGCAATCCTACTCCAATTCCAGGCAAAGAAGTAAGCTGTGTAGCTTTTCCATGATAGTATCTAAGTCAGGAAGAAAGGCTGATTTCCATCCCCTGGGAGTACAGCGATAAATAAAATATATTTCATGCTTCTTTCTTGCCAAACACATTTTCTTCATGCCCCTTGGATAGATAAGTTCCAGCAGGGTGAGGATGATTGTTTCATTTTGTTTACAAACCACTTGTTTTCTTGTCCTTAAAGACATGGTTTTGTCTTCCTTTTTCTCTATTGAGCATGATATCCCCTCCACAGCTGCTGGAGCTACAGATAAGCCATTGTGGTGCTTTCATGATGCTTCTTGGCTTTATGAGTCTTATCAGGATTGGCATAGAGAAATCAAAGGGGTTTGAGTTTTTCATTTTCCTATTAAAGACCACCATTCAAACCACTCACAACCACCTAACTCCAAATTTTAACACAAGAGTTGTATTTAAATATTATACTTTAAGCAAAAGGTGAATACATCTGGGGACAAAAGATTCTGTACCAAAATATGTAGCAATATACTGTTCCTCTTTAACTGAATTTAACTTATGTATCATGGAACATTTTCTACAGTAATTCACATGCAGACTTACTTCAAGGATGTAAATTGACTTTGCTCATGGGATTTATAATAGTCTGGAAATGGGAGGAAAAATGGACAGATTTCAAATAAGAATGTCAGAATATACATGTCAATCACCTCTAAAAGAATATTATTTCCTTTCATTCAGGGGGTTATTTTCTCTTCCAAAGGAGTTAATTAGTAGACATCCTCCTTCATCATGTTCTGTAAGTGGCAAGGCTAGCCAAGTATTAAAATCTGCTATATTTGAAATAAATGAAACCACTCGTTTCACAATTAAGGGTATTTAGGACTGATTGTTTCTTTGGTTGATTTAGTATTCACTGATTTATTGGTCTGAGTCTGTATTTTCTCTTTTCTATTCTACAAGTGTATACACAATAATATTATTTATGTAGATTTTTTTAAAGCAAATTGTAGCATAAAATAGTCCTTACAAATTTATTACAAATATCCTGGGTTTTTTTCTGTTTGATTTAGAGGGCTTTGAGGTTTTTATTTGTTGGGGGTTTTCTGCAAGTGGGAAGTCTACAAAAATAACACATTTAAGACAGTCTTGTAAGGTCTAAGGATTAAACAGCAGCTAACACATACAGCGCAAAAATACTACTGAAAAAGATCCACATATAGGCAGAGCTGTTATACAGTGGGCACATTCTTTTGGGTACCTTCCTTCCAGGGAAATTATTGAGTATGACAGCTGAAAGGTGACAGAAGGAAAATTTAAAATGAAAATTGGAGGAAAAAAAAATATTAAAGTAAATCCAGTGGCATTCTGACACTGAATTTGAGAAAATGCCCTAAAGAGGAGAAAGTCCTGTTTGCTGACAACACAAATAACGTTACCTGCTAAGCTCTGGGAGAAAATGACTTCAATTTAATCTTGTCAACGGAGGTCAATCTTTGATGCAACCTTAACTAGGCGAATTCTGAGTGCGCTCAATATAACATGCCAAAAAGTTATTAGTCTAATAAATAACAAAATAATTATCCAGGCTGGGAGCATAGCCAAGCTCTACTATGACTTGACCAATAGGGGAGTTTACACTAACCTTACATACAGACTTGCATGGTGAGCAATATCCTGGAGAAAAGGTAATCAAAGGAAATCTCATTCACACAATCTATTATACGCATCTCAAGATCTAAAAATTAACTTTTATACTTTAGTGCATTTAAATTTCCTCAATTAAACACATTGGGGCTTTTTGTTTGTACTTTCCTTAACAGAATCTGCACCATTCTGAATGTTTGAACAACCATTTTGGAAGCCCCCATTGTGTCATAATGAAGACAGCTTAAAGCAAGGCCATAAAAACTGGGGACAAATAGGAATCTCAGCTTTCATGTGATACTAATATTTTAACCTTGTGAAGAAAGCCTTCCCAAGGCAAGCCAATATAAACTGATCAGTAGTTCTCAATAGAACAAGCACCGGAACATTCTGCCTCAGCAAGGAGCTGATCATATTTGAGACATCCCAAAGAATCACATTGCTAATAGTCTGCAGAACCCCGGGCTGCTTTAACGTACTGGTAGACAGAGACTTATGGGGCTGTTGGGAGATTGATCACAAAATTCTTTTACAGGTTCCTTCAGGCTGACTGGGAAATGCAAGCTGAGCCACAATACAAAAGCGTGTGCTGTATGATCTCAGGATGGCTGCCACAGACGTATGTTAATGCTAATAAGAATTAATTAATCCAACAGGTATCATAGAAAAATTGTGGGAAAGTGCAGGGTTCATGGCATGCAAGGAGAACCACAGGAGTAGGTTGCAAGGTAAGAAGGAAACTTTGAAGCTTTCTGTTCCAGTTTAGCCACTTATTTTGGTATAATATCTCAACTAAACAAGCACCTTGATTACAACGGATACTTTGCTAAGCCATTAGTAATTTAGATCTAAATCTGAAAAGTATTGAGCGTGTATTGCATAATTGCAGCATTGTGGTAGATGAGTGACATTCTCTACTTCCATTTACATTCATCTTATTGAAAACAAATATCTTGTGGTGTTTAAAGTATTTATCAAATATTTGTTAACACTGTAAACAGAATATTTATTTAAATATAAATATTTACTGTGTAATTGAAAAGAAAGATACGTTCTAATGCAAGTTGCCTTTGCAACTTAGAGTACTTGGCACGTAAGAGTAAACATATCAGTTGGTTTCATTCTATTTCAAAATGAAGTATTTTGTTTTAATAAACAAAAGAATGCAAGCCGCTATTTTAGTTGGATATATTTTTTCTACAGTATAGAAATTATTTTAACCAAGACAGCATAAAAAAAAAAAGTCCCATTCACAGAGCTATGAGGACTAGGAAGGTGTAAGAACACAAG